CAATATTCTAGTAATTTGGCTGACATCTGCCAACCTTCTTCCATTTTTCCATCTGTCTGGCTCCCTGACCAAAAATTCGCTGACGTCTTTTGATAAAATTTGAGGTCTGGCACAACCAATGGATCGTGACGCAACATGTCATGGGTCACTAGGAAAGCCCTGAGTGGCACTCCTATGTACTTCAGATGTACATGAAGGCTATTAATGTCGGTGGTCACTGAAAACATGCAAGAAACTCCATAAAGTGCGTATGAACGAGCAACATTCTCTTGCATGTGGGCAATAAGCATACGAAAATGTCTCATTTGCGTAGACATAGGCAAATATACCGGAACTATGAACGATGCTATCCTAAAAGAACGGGACGAGTTCGGAGTGTGTTTCGGAAACTGGAGGAATCCCCCCCCCCTTTGGTTACGTGGACATTGAGTTATACTGGAACCTTGATTCCGCAAGGGTAGTTAGAATAATCGGGCCTGGTATCCAGACAAAGTTAGTGGTAGGCCTCGACATTCTAAAGTCAGGAAAGAGCAATATTCTGACCATTTTTCTGAATTCTGCTGGCCTACTTATGAGTAAGTAGAGGGCCTCTACATTCCAAAGTGAGGACTTAGTGTGGCTGCTGGTAAACGTTGATGGCTCGCAGTGGACATAAACACGTGACTGTGTATTGATGATTGAAATGCGATAGGGTGCATGGTTGCCCATTAGGCCAAACAGCTTAGGTAAAGGTGCATCCAAAACAAGGGGCATATTTTGGGGAGGGGGAATTTATTATGTAATTATAGAGTTTTTCTGAATGGAAAGGTTAATATCTGAGTTTTTCCTCCCTTTGAGAAGAAAAGCAAATGACTTTGCACAAATACGTAACCTTTCTCTTGTAATGTTTAAAAGACAAATTTATTCTTGCCTCCTTAGGGGTATCTCCCCTCCCCCGAGTTGGCTTAGAGTGACTTCACGATAAAATCCGATTCGTTATTTTTATTTGATAATAAAAATCAGCCGCACTATAACCTAACTTAATTTGGATCATTTTCAGTAGTTGTTGATTTGCAGATGCTATTAAGCTGCAGGGGCGGGACCCCACCCCGAGAATCATAGCAATTTTCACAAGTAAAAGAAGGAATGCAATGTTTCAATTCGAATTAGGTTAATCGAACTTGAAACATAATGTTTAATAACTTGATTGATTTCTGTAATAAGTAGGAGAAAAACGTTTTGACAAGCCACTCCCTCTAGTCTGTGGAAATTTATCTTTATACCCAAAATCTTCGCGAGGGGTTTTATGTACCCCGAGGTAGGCCTACAGGCTCGACAGGTTGCGAGAGTTTTAGTTTAGTAAAAGTTTATCAACTATCGCGTATCGCTATGTTTACGTAACGAAGCCCGTTAGTACAAATATACATTTTATTGTGAAATAACGCAATAGTATTGCAAAATAATGCAATACATTTGTGCAATAACGCAAAACGTTTGCGAAATAACGCAGTAAGTTTGCGAAAAACCGCAGCAGTTTTGGCAATCCGAACTGCTGCGTCTGCTCCAGTGTAAAAA